GTTCTAAATTAAAAAAATTAGAAGATCTTAAATTTCGAAATCTAAAAAATTCTGTTCCCCATGTGAGGATCGAACTCACAACCTCGGCATTGCTCGCTAACACTGTTCTAAGTCCGCGCTAACATTGCGACTGGGACCGAGAGCAAAGAATCCTCTTTAATTCAAAACAATTATAAAGGGAACGTAACACCATTTCATTGCAAAAAAAATGTCTTCGTTCCTTTGGAACAAAATTCCAATTCCTCCTCCTATTATGAAAAACCTCTCTTTCTCTACTTAAGTTCTAAATTCAAACAATGAGAAGCTCTTAAATTTCGAAATGTAAAACATTCTGTTCCCCAGGTGAGGATCGAACTCACAACCTCGGCATTGCTCGCTAACACTGTTCTATAAGTACCGCGCGCTAACCAGTTGCGCCACTGGGGACCGAGAGCAAAGAATCCTCTTTAATTTAAAACAATCATAAAGGAACGTAAACAACACCATTTAATTGCAAAAAAATTCTTCGTTCCTTTGGAACAAATTCAATTCTCCTCCTATTATAAATCCTCTTTTCATAATTAAATTCAAACAATGAAAGCTTCTAAATTGAAAGCTAAAACTGTCCAGGTAATCAATAAACTCAATTGCTAAACTTTCTAAATAAGCTAAAATGCGACTAAAGAAAAAAACCTTTTAATTAAAACAATCATAAAAACGTAAACAACAATTTATTGAAAAAAATGTCTTCGTTCCTTTGAACAAATTCAATTCTCTCCTATTATGAAATCTCTTTTTCTAATAAGTTCTAAATTAAAAAAATTAGAAGATCTTAAATTTCGAAATCTAAAAAATTCTGTTCCCCATGTGAGGATCGAACTGACAACCTCGGCATTGCTCGCTAACACTGTTCTATAACTTCCGCACGTTAACTATTTGCGCTACTGAGGACCGAGAGCAAAGAATCCTCTTTAATTCAAAACATTTATAAAGGGAACGTAACACCATTTCATTGCACAAAATAAATGTCTTCGTTTCTTTGAACAAAATTCCAATTCCTCCTCCTATTATAAGGACCTCTCTTTATCTACATAAGTTCTAAATAAAAAAAATTAGAAGCTCTTAATTTTCGAAATCTAAAACATTCTGTTCCCCAGGTGAGGATCGAACTCACAACCTCGGCATTGCTCGCTAACACTGTTCTATAAGTACCGCGCGCTAACCAGTTGCGCCACTGGGGACCGAGAGCAAAGAATCCTCTTTAATTTAAAACAATCATAAAGGAACGTAAACAACACCATTCCATTGCAAAAAATATTCCTTCGTTCCTTTGGAACAAAATTCCAATTCCTCCTCCTATTATGAAATAAACCTCTCTTTCTCTAATAAAGTTCTAAATTCAAACAATGAGAAGCTCTTAAATTTCGAAATGTAAAACATTCTGTTCCCCAGGTGAGGATCGAACTCACAACCTCGGCATTGCTCGCTAACACTGTTCTATAAGTACCGCGCGCTAACCAGTTGCGCCACTGGGGACCGAGAGCAAAGAATCCTCTTTAATTTAAAACAATCATAAAGGAACGTAAACAACACCATTTAATTGCAAAAAAAATGTCTTCGTTCCTTTGGAACAAATTCCAATTCTTCCTCCTATTATAAAATCATCTCTTTATCTACTAAAGTTCTAAATTCAAACAATGAGAAGCTCTTAAATTTCGAAATGTAAAACATTCTGTTCCCCAGGTGAGGATCGAACTCACAACCTCGGCATTGCTCGCTAACACTGTTCTATAAGTACCGCGCGCTAACCAGTTGCGCCACTGGGGACCGAGAACAAAGAATCCTCTTTAACTTAAAACAATCATAAAGGAACGTAAACAACACCATTCCATTGCAAAAAATATTCCTTCGTTCCTTTGGAACAAATTCCAATTCCTCCTCCTATTATAAAAACATCTCTTTATCTAATTAAGTTCTAAATTCAAACAATGAGAAGCTCTTAAATTTCGAAATGTAAAACATTCTGTTCCCCAGGTGAGGATCGAACTCACAACCTCGGCATTGCTCGCTAACACTGTTCTATAAGTACCGCGCGCTAACCAGTTGCGCCACTGGGGACCGAGAGCAAAGAATCCTCTTTAATTAAAACAATCATAAAGGAACGTAAACAACACCATTTCATTGCAAAAAAAATGTCTTCGTTCCTTTGGAACAAAATTCCAATTCCTCCTCCTATTATGAAAAACCTCTCTTTTCTAATAAAGTTCTAAATTCAAACAATGAGAAGCTCTTAAATTTCGAAATGTAAAACATTCTGTTCCCCAGGTGAGGATCGAACTCACAACCTCGGCATTGCTCGCTAACACTGTTCTATAAGTACCGCGCGCTAACCAGTTGCGCCACTGGGACCGAGAGCAAAGAATCCTCTTTAATTTAAAACAATCATAAAGGGAACGTAAACAACACCATTTGATTGCAAAAAAAAATGTCTTCGTTCCTTTGGAACAAAATTCCAATTCCTCCTCCTATTATAAAAACCTCTCTTTATCTACATAAGTTCTAAATTCAAACAATGAGAAGCTCTTAAATTTCGAAATGTAAAACATTCTGTTCCCCAGGTGAGGATCGAACTCACAACCTCGGCATTGCTCGCTAACACTGTTCTATAAGTACCGCGCGCTAACCAGTTGCGCCACTGGATAGCGAGAGCAAAGAATCCTCTTTATTAATTAATTAAAAGCTTTTATTTAACTTACAATGTATGTATGTATGTATGTATGTAATTTGTTCGGGTGGAATCTTGCAACTCAATTTTGAAGCTGATATCTTCCTCCCATTGAGCTGAAATTTTGTATACACATTTAAATTGGATGACAATGCATGTTTTGACCATTTATATTCCGATATTGCAATTAATTAAAATGATATTAATTAAAAATTGTTAAACTAGTTTTGGGCGCCAACTTGGATATATCTGCATTGTTATAATAATTTTATTGTAACAACAATGACAATAGTTGGCATCGAAATTCGGTTTTCAGCCAAACTGGAATTTCATACGTTACGCTATTGACAGTATTAATTAACTTTGTCTAAAATATAATTACATGTCACTAATTTCTAACAATTTTTTGTACATACTTCTATCTATTTTCTTGGATTTAAATTCAAAATAAAAAAGTAGAGCTATTTTTCAAGTAGATTGGTACATTGTATACCTTTCTCAACGCTGCCAAGTTAAACTATTGAAGAAATTCTTTGAAAAATTTATCTAACTTTAAGCTATGAAACTCAGACAAAAAATAATTACAGAATCGGAAAGATCATTTTTTTATGTATCTTACCCATCAAAAAGGAATCCGCTAGGAAAACAATAAGAGAAAAATATTATCTAGAAATGCAATATATTTTCGATTAAAAAAATAATTTTATAATAAAATAAAGGAATTTTTTAAAGAAATTTTCTAATTTTAAGTCTACAAGTAATTTAAATATACCTCATTTTATCACCAGTAATTTAACACACACTACGACATGTGTCCTTAAATTTAATTACAAATAGAATCTGTTAATTTTATTAACAGAATTTTGTTTCTCTAGATGAGTTAGGCACATTGTAAAACCAGCTCAAGGTTATTTATATTCATAAAATGTGCCAAAAGAAAATAATTTGCAAAATGACCTGAAATATTTAAAATATAAGGAGAGAAAAAAAATCGAAACTTAGAAGAAACATTTCGTTAAATAGGAAATGCACTTCGCTATTTGGAGTTGTTTTACGATGAAAAGGGTAATATGTGCTTCGTTCCAGGAAAAAGTTCTTAAAATAGAGAAATTCCCAAAATAGAAGTTCGTTACATGGAGACTGCATAAAAATAATGCGATGGTTAATTATTTTTTCAAAATCAAGTTTCTAAAGATGACGTAAGCAATTAAAAAAATAGATTCTTACGTAGAAGATATTCAATGTCCAGCAAAAAATTATCATTATTTGATAAAACATTCTTTTTTGATTACAACATGCGTTTTGAATCTTAAGCATTTTATTGATTAATACAAATATTTAAATGCCTTTTGAAGTTTTTTAATAAATAACTAAAATTTTCTTCTAATATGTTAGAGAAATATATCCCTTACCTTCAAAATATTTCAAATAAATAATATATTTTTTAAGTTTTTCAAAAATAGTCAAAATTTTAATTAAACATTTAATAACTTTGTCATTTATGCAGATAATCTCACTAATCCTTTTTTTTTCGTGTGTAGAATAGTGTTACCCAAAATCTGCACGAAGATTGAAAAAATTGCTTAAAAATTACGGATTTAAAAAAATTGTGTTTTTAGTCTAATACCCTTTTGCGAGAATTAATTCAGCTAAACCAGGGATGGCGAACCAGCGTTCAATGAGTTGAACAGGCTGAGAAACCTGTCCAGCGATAACTAAAAAGTAAAAAATAAATTAAAGGTAAAAAAACCTTTTTAAGAACAAGCTTTTATTTAAATGCGCTAAAAAGAATAAAACAAACTTTTCCTTTAAAACTTTTTTTACTATCAACTTATAACGTCATTACACAATTTATATGATATAAAAGCTTGACGCGAGATTTACCTGTGTAGATAACAAGCAAAATAAATAACTTGACCTGTTTGATTTTATTTTTAAAAATTCAAACTAAGTAAATATGAGTACTTAAATATTGCGACAAGCTTTTATATCATATAAATTGTGTAATGACGTTATAAGTTGAAAGTAAAAAAAGTTTTAAAGGAAAAGTTTATTTTATTCTTTCTAGCGCGTTTAAATAAAAGCTTGTTCTTAAAAAAGTTTTTTTACCTTTAATTTATTCAAAACAATTATAAAGATAACGTAACAACACCATTTCATTACAAAAAAAAATTTCTTCGTTTCTTTGAAACAAAATTCCAATTCCTCCTCCTATTATAAAAACCACTCTTTATCTACATCAGTTCTAAATTCAAACAATGAGAAGCTCTTAAATTTCGAAATGTAAAACAATCTGTTCCCCAAGTGAGGATCGAACTCACAACCAACACTATTCTAGAAGTACCGCGGGCTAACCAGTTGCGCCACTAGGTACCGAGAACAAAGAATCCTCTTTAATTTAAAACAATCATAAAGCAAACGTAAACAACACCATTCCATTGCAAAAAATATTCATTCGTTCCTTCGGAACAAAATTCCAATTCCTCCTATTATGAGAAAACCTCTATTTCTCTAATAAAGTTCTATATTCAAACAATGAGAAGTTCTTAATTTCGGAATGTAAAACATACTGTTCCCAGGTGAGGATCGAACTCACAACCTCGGCATTGCTCGCTAACACTGTTCTATAAGTACCGCGTGCTAACCAGTTGCACCACTGGGACCGAGAGCAACGAATCCTCTTTAATTTCAAACAATGATAAAGGGAACGTAATAAACAATATTTCTTTGCAAAAAATAAACTTTAGTTCCCTTGGAACTAAATTCCAATTCCTCCTCCTATATGAGAGCCTCTCTTTCTCTATTAAAGTTATAAATTCAAACAATGAGAAGCTCTTAAATTTCGAAATGTAAAACATTATGTGTTCCCCAGGTGAGGATCAAATTTACAACCTCTGCATTGCTCGCTAACACTGATCTATAAGTACCGCGCGCTACCTAGTTGCACCACTGGGGACCGAGAGCAAAGAATACTCTTTAATTCAAAACAATTATAAAGAGAAAGTAACAACACCATTTCATTGCAAAAAAATGTCTTCCTTCCTTTGGAACAAAATTCCAATTTTCCTCCTCCTATTATGAGAACCTCTCTTTCTAAATTAAAGTTCTAAAGTCAAACAATGAGAAGCTCTTAAATTTGAAAATATTAAACATTGTGTTTCCGTAGTGAGGATCGAAACCAAAACCTCGGCATTGCTCGCTAACAAGTTGCGCCATTAGATAGCGAGAGCCAAGAATCCCTTTTAATTTAAAACAATGATAAAGAGAACGATAACCACACCATTTCATTGCAAAAAAAA